TATATATTTCAAGGCAATTGTATTGTATGGAAAAAAAAATTCCAAATAAATTTAATCTCAGCACAACAATAAGTAGATCCATGAGAGCCAGTATATGTTTATATAATTTTGGTTAGAGGGTAGTATTAGGATTTTAGAGTAGCTTTAGAATAGTTTTGAGTTATACATTAATAGATATTTATGTGATTTTGTAGATTCTCTTTGAGAGCTTTGGAGTAATTTTGTGTGATTATCTGTTAAGCTAAGGAGTAAAAGGTAACTCTGAAATTTCTTCTATATGCATATTAATTGTTTGTGGGTTGTTGTTGTTAGACATCATGCAAATTAATTATATTAGTATTGAATGCATGTACATGTATATACATGTCTACAATATTGAGTTTCCAAATAAATAGAGTTTTATTATTTATATACATTTCAATTTCTTATGCTATTAAATAGTATTGGTAATAATTAAATATCTTGATAATTATGGTGTTTGAAATATAAAGAATTGTACTGTTAATTATTTGTATTGGATTTTGATTCTTTTCTGTTGTGGGAAAATAGTATGTTGGTTGAAATATTCTGTTATACCATTATCTGTCACAGCATATGCATTCTGTGATGGGCAGAGGTCAGATAGGGATGAATATCTTATTTAATTACCCATGGTATGCCATCACTCAGTGCACAGTGGATGGCACTTCTCAGGGCCCCTTTTTTCATGTTTTCCTTTGGTCAGGATTGCATTGGAGTTATGGAACATGTGACATCTCCTTAGTTTTTTTTTTTTTTTTAAGGAGGGGAGCCATAGTCCAAGCTTGAGCTCTATACCTTTAGCTGGGTATAATTCAAGTACTGGTAAGCTTGAGACAAATCCAATTAAATGAATTAGTTTCGGTTGGACTATGTGTTAGTTTATGACTCTAGTCAGCAGAATAAGGATGGATAATGATATAAGGGAGGTTGCATAATGTATTTATTGTTGTGAAATTGCATGTTTTAAATAAATACGGATTGATTATGATATTGACTTAATGATGAACATATTTCTACAACTTAAGTGCGTAATATTTATATGAATATATATTTACAAATTTAGTTTTGATATTATATAAATGTTTTGACTGTATATGTTAAGAATTTTAGTTGTTCCTGAGACATTAAATCTCATCCCTTCCATTAACATTTTCACATGATAGATCTAGGAAGCAAGGAAAGGCACCAGTAGAGTGAGCCATGAAGGCTTTTTTGTGCTCTTTGAGCACATGTTATGTTATTTTTATTTGCCATGAAACTAAGACTTTATTATTTTGTTTTGTTAAGATACTTTATGGATTTATTTTGAAATTATGACATGCTTTGTTGTTTAGGGATGCTCAATACTCTTTTTGGTTGGTTTGGACACTAGAAATGCTTATTGACTAATTATGAAGTACATTTATTAATTATATAGATTATATGTTTGAGGTGTTACATCACCTCATCTTTCCCTTTCTCCATTGATGGTCTAGCACCTAGGGTTGTCATTATATGAAAGAATGAGATTTCAAAGAAATCCCAGTAGCATAGAACAAACAACAATAATGTTAAACATGCAAAGTATGTCATGCTATATGCAACATCATTCTTATATTTTCATTCATGCCATTATTGTGCCATGGAAAGAGAGCTCATAATCATTCCATTCAATAACTCAATCATGCAAAAGCCACTATACAATGCAAGGAGTTAAACATTTCATCACATAGCTAGTTCAACCACATCATGGCATAAAAACACATAGCAAACAATTAATACAAGTTAACATTAAAATTGTAAGTTCATGCTAACTTGATCCAAGTCTTGTCTTATGCCTTCCTTCCTTTGATCTTGAAGTCTTCTTAGCTTTAGAATAATGCCTATCCATCATACAACATAGGCATTATAAATCTCAACTCAAACAACATTAATGCCTTAACCTAACATAAGTCCTACTTCTTATCTTTATTTTAGGGTTTTTGTTCCATCTTTCTTAATCGAACTTTCACATGCTTTTCCTATATGATTTTTTATGTAGAATCCATATTTGAATTTAGATTTATCAAAATCAATTCCTTCCTAGTTTTTGATTCGGCTGAGAGGTTCCCCTTGAAACTCAAAAATTCTATTTTCAATTTTAATCTTTGCAAACACATGTTCTCAATATAATCCTTTGGCACATATTCATCCTTATTTATCATACTAGGCTCCCGAAATTTCATTGGAGTCTCTATCTTTGTCGTTTCTCAGTTCTTAAAAACTCTTACTTTGTGATTTAGTCTCTAGAAATCCTCTCCAAGGAATTTCTGGAACTCCTGCCAAAAGGGGTTAACTATAGAATGATTTAATTACCTATGATGGCTTTTGAATATTAGTTTCTTTCTTTTCTATCATGGATAAGTTAATGAATTGAAGGATTTGTTAGGCACTTTAAAGTTAACTTTTATCCTTTTCTATCATGGTTATCTTGTTGAGTTAATAAAGGCTCTTTTTATAATGCTTGTAGTGTTTTCAAATGGTTAACTGAACTCTTTTCTACCTTGGTTGGCATTTGAAATTGAGTTGAAACTTTTTCTATTATGGTAATCTTTATGCAACCTTTTCTCTTTTCTATCATAATAGTGTTTGAAAATAGATGATTTGTGTAAGAAATCGGGTTAAGGTAAGTGCTGTTATATCCGGACTTACCAAGAAGGAACCCAAAGCAAGAAAAAGGGAGAGAGTAATAATAACTCTTTTCTCTTATGTAGTAGCTTCTTGTCTTTCATATATTATGAGGCAGTCCATTGTCTCACTTTTAAATATTCATATAATAAAAAAAATTAGGGTAGATTCTATGTTTCATGGAATTAGAACTTATGAATAATATATTTTAAAAATAAAATATGTTTAAAAATCTATCTGCCATTTAAAATTTAAAATGTAACTTAATTCATGTCTAAATTAATTAAAAATATTGCATAGAAAATAGTTGTTAGATGAACAAGCATAAAGAATATAATTGGAAAGCTTAGGACCGGTTTGATATGCAAAACAAAATAGATTAAAGAAAAAATATAATAAGAAAATAATTTCATCAACTAAATAAAGTAGAAATAACATGATTACAGTAAATATTACATATCTCAATTTTGTATCATGAAATAAATTCGTTTCGGCCACCAAACTTAGCACAAAGTTTATAGATTTGAAATAATTCTTTTAAAAAATATTGATTATTCAATCTTAAAACTTGTTCTGTACAAAGAGAACTCAAAATATGCTAACTACTATCTCTAGTCCTTAATATAAGAGCTCCTTAATATAATAGTCAGTTTGACTTTTATTTTGGTTCTAAATATAAAACTCCAATCCATTTTGTCTCTCATGTTTATCTGTTTTTTTTTAAGGTAGTCTTTTTAATAATAATAGTTTTAGCCAATATACTTGATAACAAAAATATTTTAAGAAAGACAACAATTATTTATTACCGTAACTAATTTCTTTAATCTATTTAAATTAGTCAATTAGCTCTTATATTAAAAATAGGATGAGGTATATAAGCTAACACATATGGTCTCATACTATCTGAGCTTCTTAATATAAAAATTAGTTGAAGATTGAATTTAATTTTAAATATAAGATATCAATTTACTTTATCTCTCAAATTTATATTCTCTAGAAAATATCCTTATTGAATATAAAGAGTTCTCACATCCAATGCGTATGATTAAATAAGATAATTTAGAAAAATCAACATGTATTTCTTATATTAATCAACTCAACTAATTTTCTTAATCTTCCTAATCAATTGTTTAACTTATATTAATGATTGAGGGTAGTACATGATCTAGTTTTGTTTGGCTCATGCGGCTCACCAAACGGAGTCTAACTTAAAGAATCAACTTGCATGTTGACCTCACAAATTTGTTCCAGCTCATTGATCACCATGGAGCCACAACCATCCAAGTTTGATAATTGTAAAGACCACTCAACTTCCAATTATATACTCTTAAAAGAGCCTTTGACTAAAAAGGCCCTATGAATGAGAGCGGTCGTGCGATTTATCCCCCAAAATGAAAAAAAAAAAAAAAAAAAGGAATGTATGTATGGGTCATCAATATATTACTCCTCCAGTCCTTATTATAAGACCCCATTTGACTTTTTATTTGGTCCTAATTATAAAACCCCAATCCATTTTGTCTCTTATATTTATGTATTTTTTCCAAGATAATCCTTCTAATAATGATAGTTTTAGCCAATATACTTAATTAGCAAGAATATTTTAGGAATGACAACACTTATTTATTATAAATAACCAACTTAACTTACTTCCTTAATCTCCTCAAATAAGTCAATTGGATCTTATAATTAGGACCGGAAGAGTATATGTTTTTTGTTGTATCATGCATTTCTAATTTTTAAGAGCCGATCAACAAACTCAAATAACACTACAAAGACTCGAGTCCGAATAACCATTCAACTGAACGCAAGTAATTCACAACGTTCTTCAATATGAATGATTGATATTTGGAACATCCATCACCAATCCACTTCTATATTGGCAATTCATATTTCAGTAGCTACTCAAAAATTGCAAAATGTTGTGAACTTTATCAGTCCACTTGCTTGTTGAAATACTTCAAGTCGGTTAACTAAGAAATAAATAATATAAGTTTCTCCATGTATCGGTTTGAGAAATAAGCTATACTGTTCATTTATTAACTGAGCAATTTACAATAAACTTTAAATTGTATATTAATATTGTTAAAGAGAGCTAAATCTGTATTAATATCAATGTTAACAACATATGAAATACGTTTATAGGAAAATGCATAATTTACATGTCATGAACGGTAATTTACCTCAAACTTTATACAAAGCATGGGGTCCACAGTCTTGCAGTTTATTTTGGGGTTTGGGGTGTTTGAAAGATTGAAAAAACATTATTAGATATAGATAGCGCACATACACACACACACACACAAAAGGTGCACCATCACGCACATAAGGGCAAGTAAACCAATTCCTTCCATAACTCATTTCTGCTCAGTACCCAAGGTCTTCAAAACAAATAGATTAATGATTGATCGGGCAACATCCATGAGTTATCAATCCACTTTATAACATCTATAACTCAATTTACATTTTGATGGACATAGCGTTGCACAAACATAAAGTCATATGGCACAAAACTGCCAAAGTTTGTGAGCATGAACGTTAGTGTTAATCCACTCAGACGATCTCACACTCGCAACAAATAATAACATGCTTGAAGGTGGATCTCAGCCAGCAACTTAAATGAGACTCAAAGCCAGAAATCACTCAGCTTCAAGGGTAGCAATTTCATACCTGACTTCTTCTAGATGTTCATTAATGGTGGTAACAGCATCCTGGACACCTTTAATTGCTTCCTTGAGAGCATTATCATACTCAGCATCTGCCTCAGCTTCTTCAGTCCCAGCAGCTTCAGTTATCTCGTGAACATGAACACATTCATGCTCTTGTGGCTTTGTAAACGTACAATTCTCATGACTGATCAGTCGTTCAGATGGGCGACCAGCCCTCTTTAACAGCTGAATGGTAGCTGTCTATAAAGTACGCCAACCAAAAACAAAAACAAAAAGAAAATAGGATTGGCATAAACACGAGTTGCAAGTGAAAGAACAGTATGACTTAACAAAGAAAAAGGCGGTATTCAAGATGGCAGAGTCCAAAAACTCAACATATCTAGAAATCGCTTAAACAAGCTAAATTTTGGGCAAAATATAAAACAAAAAAATACGGTGATATTTTATCACATGCAAAATGGGATAGGAAAATAGGTAAAATAAGAAAGGGTTGATGCATGCTCAGTCCTGCATAGAAATGCTTACAAGATGGAACTGGAATATGAGCATTTTGATAAGTATGATTCCTTTTTATCATAAAACAAAAGATGTCTAGTCGTAACCAATGTTCTTCTGGGGCAAACCATAGATGTAAAAACATGTTGATTGCCACCTCGACTACAACACGAGGGTTTTGTCTTCTAGAGCAAGCTTGGACAAAATCTTGAAGCGGGAGGAAGAAGCAAAACCCAAGAGTGTTACAAGTACTCAACTCTTTTCACTGGGGCTGTTTTGAATTTTGGTGAATGGTTTAACTAGACCGTTTAAGCTAATGACCCTTTATTGAAACACTAGACAAGTTAAATGCAGAAGAAAATAGACACAGGGCCATGAAACCTTAATAACTGTAGCCTGATCAGCAGATGAAGTAAATAGTCAATTAAAAAGGAGTTTAGTACTGTTTGGCCTTTGTGGAAAACATGTTGACATTGAATAAAATCAAAATAATAGAGTAGACATGTTGTTATGGACAGAAAAGTTCTCCAAAAATTGCATGAAGAACTGACAACACGAGACGTGGTCATCAAAACCAAGACACTATATAGTATTCTACCATCTACAGTTATATTTATATTTAGATTATCTAACATGTCAAATATAGGGAGGTACGCTTAGTTTAATCATAAACGTCATAGATAACATACATAGAAAGAAAAGCGCAGTTTTCAAAAGCTTAATTCCATGAATCAACATTGAAACCCTAGCAATGCAAGCAATTATATGATAATCTTTAACTAAGATAGAGACGTACCATATGTAGTTTTTGCTTTTCCTGATCTTGAACAGCTCTAAGCAATTGTGCCAGATCAACTCGACAATAGTCAGAACTTCTGAATAGTGTCTCCAACTCAATGACCTATAATAGTAGAATAAAAACTTAAAGAAAAATGCACAAATGTGACAAATCGTTCAAAGAAACAAAAGCAAAATTCAAATCATTTATCACCTCTTTTGAGCAATCATTGAACTCTATTGTGATCTCACTGCAGAGTTGTTGGTAAGCTAGTTCTCCTCCAGATATCATGTACTCAGAAAAACCCCTACGATATCAGATATCGGATAAGGTGTCAATTAGAGTCCAATCTCACTTCGAGATAAATACTTGAGAATTGTTTTTACTTGTAAAACTGAAGCGTAATGACATAAATTTTATGCTATCTTTATTAATTTTAATGTTGAATAAAATATATTCTTGTCCCATTCATAACAACACAGTTGGCAAATAATAGTTCATCAAACAGGAAATAGCCACGCAATACTCAGATATAGATCCGAATAGATCAACTCTGGAAATTTAGAACACTGCATATTTTTGGACTTCAATTCTAAATTTTCAATGACTAACACAACATTTTCCCATAAGTGCAAATTGATTGTGTGTTGCCCATTCCTGGAGCAATCCGATGGCACCTAGGGAAACTTTCCCATATTTTCAATTCGATTAGTTACTTTTCCCCTTAAGAAACAAACATAATATAAGACTGGCAGCCACAGAAAACGTACACACAAAAATGACTATCATTTATACGGCCATATATTTCCAATAGGGAATAAACACTTATAAAATGTGCCACAAGAACAAATATATCCCAAAAATGAAAAAGATCAAATTCATTTTTCGTTTATTTTCCAGGAATCTAAACTAGGCCAGCCATGATTCATTATACTTTTTCAGCTTGGAATATGCTTCTGCTCTACGCTGTTGAATTTCAAGAAATTTGCGAAGTAAAAGAATGATTCCTGTTGATTCGGGCTCTGTTTCTTCCACTTCCATCACATCCTTTATTGCAATCTTCTCAAAATCTTCCATCATTGATTTGTCACTTTGTTCTTTGAGCTTTGAGTCTGCCCCCCTTGTATCCCTTTTCATTCTCCTGCAATAATCCTACAGTTTCCCAAAAGCACACAACGTGAGTTGCCAATAACAAATTGTCGTTTAAATGGTTCAATCATATGGCACCATTTGTTAAGGGATACTCTTTGGGCAATTTTTATTTTTAATACGACCAAAATGACATCAGCAAATAACATAGTTTATAACATTTACAAAACAGGAAAAAAAAAAAAAGAAGGGACAGCTATTAAGAGAATAAAAGAGGTAATAGATAACACTAAAAAAAATTTGACTTTAAGTGGCGACAAAATCTAAATGTCACCACTGAAAACTTTCAGCGAGGACCTTTTATCGTCACTAAGTCATTGCTGCAGCGGCCGGGGCTGAAAAGTATCAGCGGTGACATTTCAAGTCGCTGCCAAAAGTAGACAATCAGCAGAGACAAAAACAACATTCTGTCGCTGCTGAAAATAAAACCAAAGCCTTTAAAAGGCAAGTCGTTGTTGAAAATAGGGAGGGTATTGGCACGACAATTGTTACCACAGAAAATAACAATCAGTGGTAACCAAGAAAGTCTACTGAAAAGCAGCTTCAATGGCGACAAGTTGTTGCCACTGAAAACCTAATCAATGTCAACAAAAATTGCCGTCAAAAATTAAAATTTTTTTTATTCTTAAAATATTTTAAATTAAAATATGTATTCATGATAAGTATCAAAATAAAGCATTAAAAATTAAATTAATTGAGAACTAAAAATATATCAAGTAATAATATTCACAATATTGTTTAAAACAATCAAAATATTTCAATCACTTTAAAGAAAGGAAAAAATTGTCCAACTGAAAAATAAATACATGTCATAATTAGATAAGGAAACTATGTTGATGGACTAGCATGTGAGACACCAAGAACAAGACTAGCTGTAAATGTAGGTGCGCTCATTGCCCTTGTTGCATCAACATAGTCAATTGCTGAGCTTGTTTTCTCTTCTTCACTAGTTGTTCCATCCTTTGCTCAAGTAGTGCAAACTTTTCTTCCACCTTCGCACATTCTACTAAATTTGCTTATATCAAGCAAAATTAAAAACAATCATTAAGTATTTATTTAAAAGTGTGTTTTTTCACAGCAGATGTTTAAAAAAGTTTTATTTCTACATATTTCAGACCCTCAACAATATAATAAAAGTTGGCTGACCCTCAATCAAGAAAATCAACTAAATCATTCAAATCTGTGGAATGAATAGCATTCCAATTCTAAATATCAACAAAGGGATTATAGAGGAAAATGAGAGGCAAAAAGAAAAATATAGTAAATTATAAATTTGATAAACACACGTTAAGGAGCCATTCACATATAATTATCTTACAGTCTTTCATATCTAGAGTATCATGGTATATAAGACTTGCATGTTTGGTACAAAACTTGGAAGTTCAGACAAAAATTATAGAGTAACTAAAGCTAAAGATTCAAAGATATAAAATTCCAATAAATTTGGTCTTCGGGTAATATTAGTCTGTTCTGGAAAGTAAAGAAATAAGAGAGAGAAAGAGGAAAGAGAAGGGAAAAGAGTAAAAGAAACAGAGGATAATTAGAGAAGAATAGAAGACCAAGAGAAACCGAGTAACCTCTGCAAAACTGAGTTACAAAGGATAGTAGGTACTTATTTATAAGCATGGTCCAAGTCGTTGATATAGGCAGAACACTTGTAGCACAAAGCCTCCCAAATGCTGTAGCGTATAGTGCATAGTGTTGTGCCAGATTACTCAGGAAAAAATAAACACACAGTTTAGTATAAATACAATGCATTGAAAACCAAGCTCACATTAAAAAGATAACAAAAAAATAACAACATAGTATCAGCTATGAATCATAACAAGTACTTAGATAATCAGAGCCATCAATGTTAAACCAAGTTTTGAGTCTCAGCTTTATCTTGAGATATCTAAACCTATTATTCCTCTTCATCAGATACAAACATCCTAACATCCTCAATGTTTATAATTCTAGGCAATCTCAATGTTTAACAAAATAATATTAATATTTGGTAATGTTGTTGATAGGATAGAATAAGAAAAGAGAAGATAGAAGAGAGTTTAGGGAAGAAGAAAGATAGGAAGATAGAGATTAGGAGAAGAGAGTTAGAGAAAAGAGATGAGCGAGAGAGAAAACAGAGAGGAGACACCAGTCATATCTGAATAGTGCACTGTATATTCCTAGAAATCAAATCTGTACAATGGGGTACCCTAGTCATGTCTATTTATAGGCCTCATTACAGAACCAATTACTACTTAAATACCTCTCCTAACGGTTAGTGACCGTTGCTTCTCCTAATATTTAAAAATAATTATAATAATACATCAATTACCCCCTCCCCAAAAGATCCTTGCCCTCAAGGATCTGGAATAACAAAATCTGGAAATTGCTGCTAAAAGCTATAGAGGGGCATCCAAGAGGTTTCTTCATTCGCTAATCCTTGCCACTGAAAGTGTATTTCAGTGATTAACTTCCTTCTTTTTCTAGCATTCCTTTTCCCCAAAAGCTTCTATAGAACTAGTGCTGGTGGGACTTCAGGAAAATCAGGAGGTGGATGTCTAGGTTTGACAAAAGGATCTGGGCACAATTTTAATAAAGAGACATGAAAAGTAGGGTGAATTCTTGAGTCAGGAGGTAGATCTAATCTGTAAGCAACAGCCCCTACCTTCCTAATCACCTTGTAGGGTCCAAAGTACCTAGAAGCCAATTTCTGAGAACTCCTAGAAGCAGCAGAGATCTGTCTGTAGGGCTGCAGTTTTAAGAAAACCCATTGCCCAATAGCAAATTCTTGATCAGTTCTGTGATGATCAGTCCTTTGCTTCATTATATTTGCTGCCCTATGGAGATGATGTTTTAACTTTTAAAAGTCCCATTATTTCCTCTCTTGCTGTAAAACTCCTGTCCACAGCATCTAAAACTGAATTATGAGGTAAATAGGGAGAATGGATTGGAGGTTTCTGCCCATAAAGCAATTCATAAGGTGTAGACTTTGCAACTGAATGAAAGGAAGTGTTGTACCACCATTCAACTTGTGCAATCCATTTGCTCCAATCCTTGGGCCTTTCCCAACACATGCACCTTAGATATGTTTCCAAACACTGATTCAATAAACTCTGATTAACTGTCTGTTTGGGGATGATAGGCAGAAGAAAGCTTTTGATCAACCCCCAATACCCTTAAAAGCTCCTTCCATAAATTGCTCACAAACAAAGGGTCATGATCACTTATGATTTCAATAGGTGCTCCATGTAATTTATAAATTTGATCCATAAAAACATGAGCTAATGTGGCAGCAAAAAATGGGTGAGAAAGAGGAATAAAATGAGCATATTTGCTCAAGCAATCTATAACAACCCAAAGGGTGTCCTTGCCAAATGATTTAGGAAGTCCCTCTATGAAATCCATAGTCACACTCTCCCAAACTCTACTTGGAATAGGTAAAGGTTGTAGTAGTCCAGGAGGTGCAATAGCTTCATATTTGCATCTTGCACATGTGTCACAAGCTTTGACAAATTCTGTCACATCATTAATCAACTTTTTCCACCAAAACAAAGCTTTAATGTGTTTGTAGGTAGCTTGTATTCCTAAATGGCCTCCTTGAGGACTAGAGTGGAGCCACTGTAGAATGTGTCCCAAGGGACTAATCCTTGCCAATGACTAGCTTCCCCTTTCTGCTTAGTAATTCACCATCCCAAGTGAAATGCCCCCAAGTTCCATCATGCTGCTGCACCTTATTGAGGAGAGTGGCAGCAAAATCATTGTCCTCCCAACTTGTTTTTATTTTTTGCAATAACTCAAGAGAGGATGTATCAAAAGCCATCTGCATAAGTTGTTGTCCAGGCATTCTGGACAGAGAATCAGCTACAGAATTTTCTTTCCCTTTTTTATACTGAATCTCATAGTCAAACCCAGCTAGTTTTGTCACCCAAAACCATTGAAAAGAAGTGTTTAGGTTCTGCCCCAAAAGGTATTTTATACTTTGCTGGTCTGTTTTAATGAGAAACTTCTGCCTCTCTAGATATTGACGCCAATGCAACACAGCCAGCGCCACTGCTATAAGTTCTTTTTCATAAACTGAAAGTTGTTGGTGTCTTGGAGCTAATCCTTTGCTGAAAAAAGCTATGGGCTGCCCTTCTTGCATTAATACAGCCCCAATTCCAGTACCACATGCATCTGTTTCCACTATAAATTCCTTAGAGAAATCTAAAAGTCTAGGAATAAGGGCTGAAGTAAGAGCACTTTTGAGTGTTTGGAGTTGCTGAATCTGACCACTGGAAGGCATTCTTTCGTAATAATAGGATTAGAGGTCTAGCCAAGTCACCATACCCCTTGATAAACCTCCTGTAATATCTAGCTAACCCCAAAAATCCTCTTAATTGTTTAATGTTGCTAGGGGTAGGCCAATTGACCCCGGCTTCTATCTTTTGTGGATCTGTAGAAACTGTGCCATACTTGATAATGTGTCCTAAGTATTCCACAACAGCTGCAGCGAAGGTACATTTGCTCCTCTTGGCAAAGTAGCAATTCTCTTGCAAGATTTGGAATGCAATCTGTAAATGTCTTTGATGGTCTGCAAGAGAAGAACTATAAATCAATATGTCATCAAAGAAAACTAAAATTTTCTAAGAAAAGGTCTAAAAATGTCATTCATAGCTCCCTGAAAAGTGGTTGGTGCATTAGTCAAGCCAAAAGGCATGACCAACCACTCATAGTGCCCAGAATGGGTTTTGAAGGCTGTTTTATGGGTATCCTCTGGTTCCATACGAATTTGATGGTATCCAACCCTAAGATCTAGCTTAGTAAACCACCTAGCTTTACTTAATTCATCAAAAAGATCTTCTACTAAAGGAATGGGGTACTGATTTTTGACAGTGTACTTATTGAGCTCTCTTTAGTCCACACACATCCTCCATGTCCCATCTTTTTTCTTCACTAAAACTATAGAGGCTGAAAAGGGTGAACAACTATCTTGAATTACCCCATTCTCCAATAGTTCATTTACAATCTCTTCAATAACATCTTTTTGGACTGCTGGGTATCTATAAGGTTTCAAACTAATAGGATTTGTCCCCTTTTTTAGAACAATAAAATGATTATGGCCTTCTCTCAAGGGAGGTAATCCCTTAGGATCCCAAAAACTTCTTGGAAATCGTCCAGGACCCCTTGAATTTCAGCAGGAATACTGCTGTCCACATTTGAAACAGCAAAGCATGACCTCTTGCTCCTTTTTTGGTGACCAACTAGAGTAGGAAGAGCTGTTCTTCCTTCAAATGGGCAGTTTCAATCCTTGTTGGTTGCACCATTTGGCAGGTGTCTGGAATGTTGGCTTGCAACTTCTGCAACTTCCCTTCATACCAGAAAAACATAGTGAGAGTTTCATAATCCCAAAAAGCATTTTTAATACTTTTAAGCCATTTTAGACCAAGAACTAAATCATAGGTTTTAAGATCTAAAATTCTAAAATCAAAGACAAACTCTAGGCCCTACATTTTCCAACAAAGTCCTTCCCAAAGTCCATGAACTTTGAGTTTCTTGCCACCTACGACTGATACAAAGGATACTTCTTTTGTATCAGTTTCCCATCCCAACTTCATGGCAAGCCCAAGGTCCATGAAATCATGCGTGCTACCACTGTCAATAAGGATTTGAATGGCACGCTTTTTAATAGTTCCTTGGACCCTCATGGCATCTGCATTGTTTGTCCCTTCAATCGCATGTAAAGAGATATGGAGAGTGGTCTCAGCTTCATCCACTTCCTCAGTCTCCCAATCTTCATCTACAACATTGTCTTCTTCTTCCAAAAGAACAAAATAGAATTGCATTTTCTAGGGTTGTGGGCATTTGTGATCTCTGGAAAATTTCTCGTGGCAGAAAAAATAGAGATTCTTGGCCCTCTGTTCAGCTTCCTCGTCTGCAGATAAAGGCTTCAACGGCTTCTTTAAGAAAGAAGAAGAGTTTTTTATTAAAGGAAGGGAAGACTTATCTCTCTAGTGGGACCCACTACTCATAGGAGTATTCTTGGGGTGAGTCACGGTGTGAGAAGCAGAGGGTGCCACCTGAGTTGCAACAGACACGTGCGATGTCAATTTAAAAGACACGGTTTTTATATTCTGCTTTGCCAAAGCTATTTCTTGAATTCTTGCTAAGCGTCGAGCCTCCTGCAACAACCTGGGGTTGAACATCTGAACAGAGACCTCAATTTTTGGTTTGAGGGCCGAGACATAAGCTTCCACAAGATACTCTTCTGAAAGGTCAAGCTTCGCTGTGATTGAGTCAAACTCAGCGTTGAATTTTGCCAGGGAGCCTGTTTGATGCAAATGAGTGAACTCAGCCATGAGGGTGTCAAGCAAGGGGCCGAAAGTGTCTCTGAGTAGGTCGACATACTCCTCTCATCCCATCAATCGTCTCCTATGCCATTTTTCTACTGCAAGATGCTACTTGAAGGTCTTATCGTCCAAATACAGTGACACGACCTTCACTTTCGATGCCTCTGGAGTTTAGTCAAATTCGAAAAATCGCTCGCATCGCGCAATCCATGCAAGAACGTCGGTACCTTTGAATCTTGGGAACTCCATTTTTGTCAGCTGGGTCGGCCGTTAATACCCATTCCGGTTTCCCCTGCGTTGCTTGTGGTCGTGATTCTGGGCTACTTTAATACCCTCACAAAAATCCCAAACAAGATTATGTGGCTGCATATTGAATCACAAGACTGTTTCTTAGAGTTCATCGACCATGCCCAGGCATTGTTCGATCTGGTTCAAGCGTTCTTTCATAATTCTTGTTTGGCCACGAGTAAGTACCATGCACCAAGTAAGAATTCATGAATAATGCTGAGGAAAGGCCAGCTCTGAATACCACTGATAGGATAGAATAAGAAAAGAGAAGATAGAAGAGAGTTTAGGGAAGAAGAAAGATAGGAAGATAGAGATTAGGAGAAGAGAGTTAGAGGAGAGAAGAGATGAGCGAGAGAGAAGACAGAGAGGAGACACCAGTCATATCTGAATAGTGCACTGTATATTCCTAGAAATCAAAACTGTACAATGGGATACCCTGGTCATGTCTATTTATAGGCCTAATTATAGAACTAATTACTACTTAAATACCTCTCTTAACTATTAGCGACCATTGCTTCTCCTAATATTTAAAAATAATTATAATAATACATCAGTTATCATAAAGCAATCATGGGCATTCAAAATAATATTCTTGACATAAGAGAACAACCAGAGAAAAAACATGAAAATGATATAGGAATCTGCAAAATTCACAATTAACCTGCTTCGTTGCTTTATCTCCACCTACAATTCCATTCGTGTCATCGAAATGACCTTCCTATGTAGCAATTCCTGCAAGCAACCACAGAGCAAGTTTCAGCGTTGGCATAACAGGATTACTCAAGTTAAACCAGAAAATGAACTACCATTAACGAGTCCTCAATTGTCAAGACGACTTACTTGTCACTGAGCTACCAACCTAAAAGAATAAAACTCTTGGCATATGAAATCATGAAAACAATCTTTGTATCACATATGAAGTATATAGCAAATTACTAACAGAATATAAACAATAATAGTTTTTTTTTTCCATACAACAACACGCCTTATACCGGGAGATTTTTTTTTTCTTTCATGAAAAGATAAAATGCGTTAATAAAAGATAAAACGTTTACATAGACGTTCCAAAATGAGAAACCAAAAGAACCTAGAAGGAATAAAGTAAACACCTACTTTCCTAAACATAGAAAGGTCATGTAAGATATCCTCCCATATAATATCAGATGGAACAGATTTAGAGATAGAGTAGGATAAAAACAAAGCCTTAGAGCAGTAAATCCCAATCTCATGTTGTGATTTATGAAGTGCAGAAGAAGTGATCCACGCCACAGATACTCGAACGCAAGAGGGAAGGAAAAAAGTGGGGGAAAGTGGGAAACATTCTTTCTTATACAGCAGAATTTTTGTAAAGGACTACCATTGAGACAAATGATACCATAGCAAAGTGATTTTCGTTGCTTTTTGGATTTAAGGAGAAGAATTGCCCAGCCAGTTCGAAAATTTCGTATAATTTATCAAAAGCCAAATTGGGGGATGGAAAATGGCTACTTTGCCTGCGAAGAGCTTCTCCCAAACCTCATTTAATAATTTCATCACACCAAAAATTACTACTTTGCATATATAAGTTTTTAAATCAGATTATATAATTTCTCAACACTCACAGGAAGGACCGAATGAAGCCATAAGATGAAGAACAAGAATGAAGAACAGACACTTACCTGAGAGAAGGCGGAAGCGGCGGCTAGAGGAGAGGTGTCAGCTGCGGCGGTTGGAGGAGCAGGTGTCGGCAGCGGCCTCTGCAGGAGGAGATGCGAAGCAAAAATGGCAAACCGACGGGAGCCGAGCGGCTGAAGAGAACGAGGAGGAGAAAAAGGAATTTTCAGTCAGAAGGGGAAGATCGGGATTTTGGCGAGTTAGCATGGATAACTGAGTGCGGGTATGATGGGAGCACATCCTCTCAGCAGCCCTCTTCTCAGGATCCCTCCAAGCGTAAAATCCTGTCCCTTTTTTTTTTTTTTTACCAGCAAAATCCTGTCCTTTGAGATAATCAAATGGCTCATGGTGCGCCACATCATTAGACTATTTAGCACGCATCAAATGCTGATAGAGCATCAACATCCAACAAAGTAGAGCCGGTAATATAGGCCAACCCGTCGATTATGGGTTGGCCCGTGGCAGGCCTGAAACTTGACGGGTTGGGCTTTTTAGGACCGCTTTCTGATGGGCTGGAATTTTTTCAACCCAGCCCGTGAGGGTGCTAACCCGCCAACCCGCCAAATTTTGTTTTTTGTTTTAACTTTTTTTTTTAATAAAACCTACTCAAAGTCCCAAATTCCTAAATACCTAAAATAAAACATGCAAATAGAAATTATCATAAATAAAACATGGAACCCATCGAAAGTTCCAAGTTTCAAGTTTCAAATATATCAAAATATTAAACATATGATTAAATGAACATGATATGTCCTTAATAATTTAACAAACATTTCAAATTAAAACATAAATCCAAATTAACACTACCACAAAGTCACAAACACAATGTAACTACACAAATCACTATCAAGTGCTCAATCATCACTCATGAGCTAGGGCAAAGGCGCAAAGCAAAGACAGAGAGCAAAGAGCTTGGGGCTTGGGACTTGGGAGCTAGGACTGGCCGAGGGTGACTGGGAGATTGGGTCTGGGAGGAGTGCGACACGCAAGCAAAATGTGAAAATGGGACCGTGTTAGTGTTGCCGTGTTAGACTATTGGACATGGACTGCTCACTGTTGCATTGTGGACTGGGCCAAGAGTGTAGAGACTGAGAGGTAAAGGGAAAAATTTGCAAAAAAGAAAAAATATATGGTTAAACGGGTTGGCCCGCCAACCCTGCGGGTTAGCCCGCCGTGGGTTTGGGCTTGGCGGTTATAGGCTCGAAACTTCCATTTTAAAACGGTCCTAATTTTTATCAACCTAACCCCCACTTGTTGGCGGGTTGGTGGGTTAAGCCCGCGGACTCAACCCATATTATCGGCTCTACATCAAACTATAGCTGAACGTATAGAGCCTCAAGTGCGAACACATTCAATTCAGATAAAAACTTTTTTTTCCCTGTAAAAAATGATAACCTTTGACTTCTTTTCAATAGTCAATGTCAAGAAAATCTCCATTGGTCCATTATAGGAATGAATGAAAACAATAGAGGGAGGAAACTAGAAGTCCAATCAATGAACACTAGAGGAGTAAATTATTGAAGTAGAATGAAGGATTGATCATAAGATAAGACTAAGGCGCACTTAGGATGAACTTCATACAAGATCAAGGAGAAAACCAAGGACGAACTCTTCTCCAGATGATGGAAAAATCCTCTCTCTAGAGGCACTGAATCTCGTTCATATAGTTAGAAATTCAGCCAATTTTTTCAATGTTGATAACTTCTTTTGTTTGGTTTTTTTTAATAAAGACAAAACGATATATACATATATATATATGTATATAAAGCTTTAAAGTTTACAAAGTACTAAAGAAAAGGAGCTTAAACTATGTTTTAGAAAACAAGAAATACATCAAGAGAAATTTGCTTAAAAGAAAAATTGTTAAAATTATCAAGAAGACACGGAATTTCCTGCCATATAATTGATGAAGGTTTAGTTTGATGAGCAGCTATAATATTAAGGGCCCGTTTGGTTTGGGGGTGGGGTGGGGTGGGGAGGTTTTATCCTCATCTTGTTTGGTTTGATTAGAAAAAAAGAGAGGGAATGATATTTAATGATCTCTTGTTTGGTTCAAGAGGGAAAAAAGATAGTAATAATCAATTTGCCATTTTATCCTTGCATTTTAATTTATATTTTTTATTGATATATTATATAAATTAATTTACATCATAATTTAAATTATATAATTTAATGAAAATTCAATTTTATCATGTTAATATGTGCATTAAAAAATTGGTGCAATATTTTTTTTTAATTCTAATTAATATAATAATATATTTGAAATAATCAAATTAACAAATTTTATATGCTCTAAAAAAATTGAAATTTTATTCTCTTTAGGCTATACTTTTTTTCAGCTTTAAAATATATTTAATAAATAATATATTTAAACTCGGGGGGTGCGGTTGAGCGGTGGGGGCTCATCCTCCCTTAACCAAGTGTCGAGGGTTCGATCCTCGCCTTAGGCATGGAAAAGCTTTAAAATCCTGGGCCAACTATCCTACTCATTGAAGTGCCTACAAGCCAGCGAAGGGATTAGTCACCAGGTCCGTCGATGGATACCCTGATGTTTCATCAAAAAATAAATAAATAATATATCTATAAAAAACAATTAATTTTATAATATTATAATTTTTAATTTAAATAATTTTTTTATTTTATAATAATTTATATTAATTTTTATTATAATATATTTTTTAATTATAATAATTTATATTTTTTATTTTTTACTTAGGATAATATATTTTTTATTTGAAATAAATATTATAATAATATATTTTATGGGTAGTAGTAGAATATCAAAAAAACCATAAGGGTATGATGGTCCAAAAATTTAGTTCCCCTCCAAAAACCTTCAATTTTGGGGGAGCTAAAATGGGGGTAGGAGAGGGAGGGAGGGAAGGGAATATTTTGGCTTCCCTCCCCTCCAAAATTTTTAACCAAATGAGGGGAGGGGCTCATTTTTCCTTCCCTCCCCCATCCTCCCCTCCAACCAAACAGACCCTAAAGGAGACCTTTCCAACCCAAATAATGTGCAAATTCTATTGTGAATATGAGTTGGTGTGTCAAAAGTGAAGTCCCACATTGTTCAAGAGAGAGGGAGCTCAAGTGTATATATGCTATCATATATTATTGGGCTAGTTAATAGGCCTAGAGAAGGAGGATCTCGCGTGCATGACAATGGCCCATCGAAGGGAAACAATTGAAAACTAGCGATTCCCCCCTACGCGCGAGTTAAGACAGCACTGGGCACCTTTTACAAAATACTTTTGCAAAAATAAATTATAAAATTGTGTTAAGAGAGTTTATCAAAAAATCCTTATTTTATCTGTTTATTTTTTGAATTAGCTGGAGGTTACTGAACATTAGAGAAATTTTATTCCTCATTAAACCATGATTATCCTTCATTAATCCTTACATAGTTTTTCCACGGATTAATGTCTGGTAACGTCTGAGATTCAATTTTTAAATGCATCTAACGTTCATAATTGAAGGTGTAAATACAGTTTATTGTGGTAATATATGAAACCGACGGTTTAATTGTTTATGGTCATTAGTGCAATGCCCAACGTTCAGATCCTTTGTGGCCTATATAAAGGGGTTCAGGACAATGTGTTCGGTGCACCACTCTTGAGCTTTCGAGCATCCGTCTTCTCCTCTACATTCCTCTCCTGCTGGGTTTTATTTTCTATTTATACTGTTCTGTCACCCTGTTTGCTGTAGGAAGGGTTTGTTTAATCCTGGGGAGTGCCACATCTGTCACACCTTACTTATATAATATCTTAGCATTCATTTAGAACCATTCCAGACCACTTTAGATGGTTTTAAGCTTAAAAATTTCAATTTGGATGTTAATTTTCGGAAAATTACTGTTCACTATCCAGTTTTCAGATTACAGGTCCAACTTTGAAAAATCATAACTAATTCTAGAAAAATCGTATGGAGGTGTTCCAAAATTCTACGGAAAGCTCTTTCAATGCTCTTTAAGGGAAAAATACTCAATTGGACTTATTCTTTCCCAATTCGTACAGTTTATTGGGTTAATATTACTATTTGTTTGGTAAAATCTGGACTTTCCAGATTCTGCGCCTTAACTTCGAAAATTCATATCTCATTGTATACACATCCAAATGATGTGATTTACCACTCATTTTAAAGCTTGGGATATGCATTATAAGTGTACCAAATTCCGTAGCTTATCTCATTCATACTCATATACTTTCATTCATGCCATAAACATCCTAAGCATATACATTGAAGTAATGGCATTCATAACATAATTTACAGCATAGGAGAATTATACATTGAATATTCATATCAATCATTTGCATTAATAATTCTCCACTTCTTCTCCTTGCTTCTCATGCCATTAGTGCCCATCATTGATTGACCTAAATGGTTGGTTAGGGAGGGGGTGAGATTTGGGGGAATCTCAGTAGCAAACAATACCATATTAATCATGCTAGATGGATGCTCATGCACTACACGCAACTTGTTTATTCTCTTGTTAATTAGTGACATACTAGCATGCTCAAAGCTAACTTCTTGATGCATGGCCATGGAGACATAATCTACTCATCATGAATAGCAATTATAGCAGCTAAAACATGTCACAACAACATTCAATAACATGTACACGGCAACACACAAGCATACAACATCAAGCAATGACAATAGGTAAGTTCACTACCTTGCACCTCAAGCTTTCCTCTTACTTTTCCTTTGACTCCCTTGACTTTCCAACCATGTGGGCATTCGGTCAACATCACTAAACATCCTCTTGGATGTTCCAAAGGTCCTAAACATAACCATAATGATGACACAATCCATTAGGACCATTAGATTACATAAAGTTCAAGACTAGCTTTCTTGAACCTCAACCCCTTTCTCTTAGTCTTAGGGTTTTCTTTCTAACTTTTCTAATATAAATCTCATCATTTCCCATCCTTATGATCCATTTCTTGTCAATTAGGACCACTTTAGATGGCTTTAGATTCAAGAATATCAAATCTGGAAATTTTGGTTCGCGGGTACTGTTCACGCAAAATCTCCAGAATTTTTTGCTCAACTTTGAAAATTCATAATTAAATCTAGAAAAATCCAAATTGAGTTATTCCAAGTCTCACTGAAAGCTAATTAAGTTAAATTTAAAGGAAAAATAATTTCAGGAACTAATTCTATGCCGAACAGTACCAGAATTGTACGGAACTTGATAATCTCCCAAAAGTTCAACACTGTTTCCAGATATCAAACCCTA